AAATAATATTTCATTTAATTTGGTTCCTATTTCCCAAGCATTAATGATAATTTCTGCAAGAAGAATACTGAACATTAAAAATTAGATTTTCAAATGGTTATAGCACTCACATTATGTCTGTAATTTATGATGTTTGCCAAAGGAAAAAATAATTTTTATTGCTGATTACATCATCATTATTATTCCCCCTGAGATTTACATTTAATATTTCAATAATTTAACAACACAGTCGCATGTTTTCTGATGTCAGTTAATGATCACATTGACATGCAGGTAAACCAATCAAACATTCCAAATGTAAAAAATTTAAATGTATTCTTTTTGATTTTAAATTTTAATGATTTAATTAATTGTTAACTTTTCATCAGCGCATTAACCCTTTGCAATTCTTTCATTTACTTTTTTTCTTTTCTTTTCTTTTTTTTTAATAACAATAATCCTAATTAGTTCATAAGTAATCTAAAAGTAATCCAAAAGTAGTCGGAATTACCTAAAATTTGTATTCTTAAAATTTATTAATATAATATAATATAATATAATATAATATAATACGCTAGCCCTAGGATTATTCTTGTGTCTTGTCCGCCATATACCTGTTTGCCATTGTTCGACCCTGCCTGTGTTTCTGACCTCTCTGCTTTAATAAAGCTTGCACATGGATCCGCATGTCTCACGTCTTGTCAGCCCCGTAACAATAATATAATATAATATAAATTTAACATGCTAACTGTCTGTACTGGTTGAATTTTCTGTGGTAGACCTTCCAGGGCTTGTGTTGTGTTCTTGTCTGACAGTTGTTTAAATATTTCTCAGAATATAATTTCACATCCATCAAGTCTTTTCACATACCGTGAACATTTGTCCTTGTGAAACTTGAATCCTCATTCTTTTGTTGTAACGTTTACAGAGTCTGATATTTCTAGACATTTTTACAACTAGAAAAACCACAAGGGTCTTTAAAAGAACCTAAGGAGCTTAAAGCATCAATCTCTGCTATCGCATGACCTTGGACCCATAACCCACGACAATAAAAATCTGCACTGCGTGATGAAGACTGTCACGAGGCGTCCCAGCAGACGAATATTTCACAATACAACTGTGTTCAGACAGTGACCGAGCTTCTCTGTACAAAAACCCCTGAGAGTTTTGAAGAACTGTAAGTGCTCATCTCCATCATTGCTTTTACTGCCAAGGGTCTGGCATTTAAGTGAAAGTCAGTCAAGGTCATGAAGATGAAATCTGCACAGCTTTACCGAGCTCTTTGAGTTATGAGTTGGAACACAACGGAAACAAATTGGACTACCATATGCGTTTGAAATCTTTTTTGGTTGAATATTCTGGACGTACATCATGTTACTGCAGTAAAATGGGTTGGACATTTTGTTAACTCTGATGGTGTCATAGTTTATCCAGAGAAATATTTAAATATTGTTATCTTCCCCTGCTCTGTCTTGCTAGAAGGGGGCTTTGTGACTTTATGTCCTGGTTATAGAGCGGCACACAATCAGCCTCTCTCTGATTTGCCCATCTCAGCATAGAGGATCACCAGTAAGCCTAGCCTACTGCCCTTGGCTCAGTGTGGATGAATGGGAAATGTGGAATAAAGGCTTTTCTTTCTTGCACTTCTGATGGAACAATAACCCTCACGCTTCTGCGCCTGGAATTTGCTGATGTTAGCATGTTTCCTGCCAGGATCACCGCTATTAATTTGATGTGCTTAAACACTATGTATAAAATGAGACAGATGAAAAACAAGATGGGATAAGATCAGGGTTTTGTGTCTGGTAGAGCAGTTGTCTAGTGTATTTACTTCTCCAGGAGAAGTATTATTATTTATACTTGCAGATGCTGATCTAAAGTCAGTTTCTTTAAAGTGCCCCTATTATGCCTTTTCGAATATTACCTTTCATGCAGTGTGTCATGTAGCTGTATGTGAACATAAACTATCTGCAAAGTTGTGAAGCCGACAGTGCACGATAAATAAAGTTATTGTCTATCAAAAAAAAAGAGTCGGCTCGCAATCGCCTAAACGAGTCGTCAGGAATTCGAATCTTATTCTGTTACGGCTCTATGTCACGAAATAACACATTTGCATAATGTCTGCCCACGTTCTACGTCGCCAGCTTGCCCACCCACAAACAGTAAAATTTCCATGTGGTTAACGTCATGTCGAGAAGACGCTGTATCCGCTCTGGACCAATCACAAAGGACTGCGCCATCTGACCAATCACAGCAGTGAGGGCTCACGGAAAGGAGGAGTTTAGAGAGACTGATTCTTTGAACTGCTTCGCACGAGTCGTTTATGAAAATTAAATCTATTTTTTGAGAAAACTAACATGTTTTTTGACCTTGAATGTAAACCTGTTTTAGGAGACTCATAAAACAATATTAGCAACCTGAAAAATGGCATAATAGGGGCACTTTAATACAGTTGCCCTGGTTTGACCAAAAGTTTAGTATTTAGTGTGTACCACTATAAGTTATTAAGTGTATTAAGTTTATTTATTAAGTTAACTTTATTTAATTATTAAGTTATTAAGTGTACCATGATAGTATATAATACATTGGTGACCATATTGATAACAACAGATTCTCATCTGCCTATTAGAGTCAGAAAAAACAGAATTTTTTAATTTGATATCAGAACATTTTTAAGTAGCAAAATATTTATTTATTTATTCATTGAATTTATTTATATATATATATATTTTTTTTTCGGTGAAGGCTTCGAACAGCTTATATGCTTAATTTTACTTGCATGTAAATCAGTGGCGTAGCCAGAATTTTAATTTTGGGGGGGCCCATCTTACAATGAGGGGGCCGCTCAATATTACATGTAGCTATAATGTCTATACTAAATGTGCACATTTTCAAGTGTTTTTGCGGAGTGTGGAAGCTGAATAACAGCGCGCTTATACTGCATGACAGTTAACATGGAGGCGCCGGTGCAATCACTTGCACTTAGAATACTCCATCATTTTTGGTCATACAGACAAGAATAATTACATCGTTCGAATCTGTTAAGGGTCTACATTTGTTTGTTTACACTCACAATAAAATAATGAAACTGTAAAATAATGAAACCAAACAGGATACTATTTCTGCCGGCTTGGTCCCGGTGAACTTCAGCGTGTCAAAAATGAACCGAAACTCTGTTGCTTCACAGACATGAGAAATATATCTATAGAACATGAAATATTTTAATAATCAACCAATTCAAATAGAAAACAAATATTCTCAGATTATATAATATATGTGTATATTGCGCGTCCACCACAGAGATGACGATTAAGTATCATTAACTTCATCACTTTTTAGTTTATCAATAAATGATTAAAATGGTAAGGTAGTCTCCTTGCTGTTTTCCCCAAAACATTCAATTCCTTATTTTTTTATTTTTTTTATTTTAAGCAATCAGAAATCTGGGGGGGCTGGATATGTAAATAAGGTGCGCTCTCATGGCTATGCCACTGGTGTAAATTTTTAGACTAGTTGAAATAACTGTGCAAAAATACTGATTTATAATATCAGCAGGCATTGGTTAAAGATATTTTGTATTTAGATGCATTATTTTAATTATTAATTGAATAAATTAATATATATTTTATTTTTGAAATGTATTATTTGTTTATTTGTTCAGCCTTTGGGCATGTAACTTTTTTTTTTTTCTTTTTTTTTATGAAGGCAGTGTAGTATTTATTCATAGTTTTAATTAGCTTAAAACTTGTTTATTTCAGTTAGTTGTCAATACAAAAATTTCAAATTCTTGTTTAAGTTTTTTATTTGTTTATATCTATTTTTTTTTTATATTAATATTTTATTTCAGCTTTATTTCAATTAAAGGAATTTTAATAGTTTTAATAGTTTTAGTTGTCATAAACACTCGTTGTAGGTGGTGTTTATTTATAATGTGTTAAAATAACTTGCTTAACATGATTAGACTGCGAATCTCCGTATTACAATATTCTAGTGTTGTCGATCTACGATGATTGAAGTTGCAAAACACTGAAAAACATGTGTAAAATCAATTTTCACTCAGATATTGCTAGTAAATTTCACAATAAATTACAAGAAATGGCAAGTAATATTGAATTAAACATGATTTTTTTTTTTTAGTAGACTGAAATAGTATTTCTTTATTATTGTATATCTCAGTGGTAGACCATGAAACGTCTCGGTTACGTATGGTAACCCTCGTTCCCTGAAGGAGGGACCGGAGACGTCACGTCGGATGACCGACGAATTGGGATCTCGCTTAGAGAGACCAATCTACTTCGAGTGTAAACTAAACGAGCCAATGCACATTGGCATGCGATTA